AACCGATAGTACTCTGTAGGTACTGTAGTGTCGCAAAGACAGGGGGCCCATGTACTGTAGGAGTTACATTCAAAAGCAAAGTCACTTGTTTCTACTGCGATTGAGCAGGCGATACTGTTACCGTTGTGCGAATTCCGAACGATAAACTGTGTCGACTTATATTAAATCAAATAACACCCTGTGTAGCAATGATTCACCAGTGCTTTCAATCAAGGTTAATAATGTGTGACAACGAGCAAGAATTGAATTCTGGTTCTGACTGTTCAGAGGTTAGGCGTTCGCGCGCAAGACCGAAGGTCCGGGGTTTGAATCCTGCGAGGTGTAGCAGTCATGGATGAGCACTGCTGATGAGTCCCTTACTAGGTCGAAACGGCCGTCCAGTGATACCAGGTTTCTAATGATGGTCTAACAACAGTCGAAAAAGTCAGTGACATGTATTTGATCACAATGAAAATGTTGATGCTAGAGTTGTTTACAAAAAGTAATGATTAGTTATACTAGCTTAGTTTTGACATAATTCAAATAATGTATTTGAGCTCCGAGTCACCATTATGATTTATGTGGTGCTTTTTCAACTCTCTAGGTGAAAGAAACTCCTTGAAAGTACCAATAATGTCACGCGATCAGAAATACAAACATCTCACTCATGATCTGAACATAGGAGCACTTGGATTACGTTCTACTTCCTATCAACATACGAAATATTCATGCGGTTCAGTGTTCATTTTGCAACAAATAATTAACGTCTAACGCCTACACTTTGTTTCATTTGTAACCAGCTATAGGAAACGTTACGAAGTGGGTAGGTTTGTAAAATGGCTTATTTTAGAAACGATCGCGAAATAGGTGCGTCAGTTCAACACTGAATTGCCGCAGCTTTATATTTGTGCTTTTTATTGGTGATTCGTAACTTGAAATTAGGATTTTCAAGCTAGGAATCATTTGTTTTGTAAGTAGGTTAATCTAAAAATACCGTTCTTTTCAAGACTGGTCAAGGTAGTCTCAGATAGTTTGCATTTTCCCCTTTATTAGCATTAAATTATTGGAGTTTGGCCGTCCACAAAACCTTAGTATAGCATATCTGCCCAATTAGGAAAGTTCGACAGACTTTTATCCATTCATGATGCTAATGTTAAGCACTTTTGAGGATTCGTAATCGCTATCTATGAGGATCAGAGCTTTAATTATTAGTCTTCGTATTAAATATACTGTGATTACAAGTCAGCGTTCATAACAGGCAGTATTTATCGGTAGTCTGTTCGAAGTTGAGACATTCATTGACCTGAAGAACCAGTGTCACTTATATTGGCAGTTACTGGAAGGCACCAAAGTTAGCTTTCACCCAGACATGAAGTTACACACTTGAAAAGTATATAAAATGAAATACTTAACGATTTTTTCTGGTGTCCACAATTTAACAAAATGTCGCACGACCATTAGGAATCGCGATTCTGACAGGATTGCATGTAATTATTCTCCTTAGCAGTCTCCGCTTAGTTGTGCCTTATTACCTACTAAATAATAATAATAATAATTTATTCTCAAATAACAAACATGTTACAAGAGACATGCCAATTTACAGGCAAGATCAAAATGTTAAGATTAGCAACATATTTTTTTCTGAAAACGGTATAATGTTACTGAAACATTTCATAAGATTCATTGTTTTCTTAAAGATGGAATGTACAAAGCGATCAATTGGCGCAAGTTACGAAGGTTGCGTTACGACAATCATCATATGGGCTGAGAAATGATTCATGGTACAGACAGGTTTTCATATAACAAGAATTGATGCAGTAAATGTACAAAAGTCTGGTTGATATTCGTCAGCTAATGATTTCACATGTTCTTGGGTAGGGTAACCAAGTCTACTGCAAATATCCAGACTAATATATTTGGATTGGAATAAGGTTCTGAAAAAAGAGGAATAAAGAAAACGGGACGAGGAGCAGAACAGAAAATATTCATGTTCAAAGCCGAACAACGGCTTCGCACATACGTTTATGGATAAAACAAAGGTATGTTTACCCAAACATTTTTAATATCAGAACACTTTACACCTGCGCTTATGTAGGTTAATGAAGACAATTCAGTAGTGAGATAACTAATGAGAAGTTAGTCGAAAGAATCGAGGAAATTCAGAAGAACCAATTTGTCAGTAATAAAGTTGATTTACAAAATATAATAAAGAGGATCAGTGATATAATTTTTTGGTTTTATTTATTCTTTTTATTTTTAACTCTGAAACTCAAGAAGTTATGAATGAGCTCTTTTTTAGTATAGTTGTCCAGACCAGCTTGTAATAGGATTTCTCGGTAGGAAGTAAAAACCAGCGCAAGGTTACAGACATGGGTTGTAGACGAGGTTAACTAGGAAAAGTAACATCAATATCACTGATTTGTTACATCCTGCTATATCGTAAGGAGCCGTAAGCAAACAAAATGTTCTGCCACACAGACATGGGTAGATTGAGGTTATCGCCCCACCGTCATGAATGCTGGTCAGATACACCACCCTCCCTCCTTTTGTGATGTTAGGCTCTCTTACGTTTAATGGTTAATTGTAAATAATGGTCTCTAGTCTACTCTCAATTTTTTTTTGTACACCTTATCGGAATTAACATTCTCTACTAGCTCCAACATTACAAGCAATCCAGACAACTTTGCCAGATAATATATCCACATAGCATATCACACTGATTTTAAGTAAACGAATGGTATAATTTGTAAGATGAATCAGTTAATGGGTAGTTTGGAAATAGGAAGGACAGGGAGCTGGAACGAGGAGAAAGTGAAAAGAAAGAGTTGAAATAATGTTAAAAATTAATGAGTAAAGCGATAAGTTGGTAAGCAGGCAAGGTGTTTGCATGTTAATGAATTGGGGAAATTAAAATTAGTTAAACTGTTAGTACTTAAATAAGAAGATACTCACAATGATACACGGTGTTTGAGTTCCTTGTAATTGACAGTAGTTGAACAGCATCTACAGGCTTTTCAATTTGTCTGTCTACTAGAAATAAAAACTAAAACTGCTTTGAAGATATGAAAATAATAATCGGAATTTAAATTCAGAGAAAAGTCACGGGTAACACTTCAAAGGCGTAACCTATTACTGTTAGTAGGAGCAATGGGAATTGGTCTATCATTTCATGATACATCTATGGGTGGTAATGAGAACACAATGTGTTCATAGTCTATAATTCGTTTCCGAGGTTCATCTAAATATTTGGTGGACCATAAAAGAGTGCCTGGGGACTTTGTGTGAGTTCCGGGAATAGTCGATATATCTCTTTAGAGTCTAGCAACAGCATGACTAGTTTCTTGAACTTAGTGATTGTGTCACAAATACGGATAGTAATTGGTAACCTGTTCCACAGTAGACTGTATCGTATTACAAAGAAATTAGAACGCAATGATTTTTTGTGTTTTGCCGTTAATAGTGTATATGCGTTGTTTCTCAGTCTGTAAGCAGTGTCTAGAAGTAAGCATTTCACCCTTTCGGATGAAACACCGAAAGGCAAATTATTCATCCACTAGAAAATAAAGTAACGTTTCGTGGAGATACAAAAGTGTGTGAGAAGATTTTATTGTAGTGACGGACAGTATCTTCAAGTCAACTGAGTTTGTAGATCACGATATCAATGCTCCCATGGATCTTCATGACCAAGCAATAGAAGTGTAGTGAAGGAGAACACAGGTGGGTCAACCGAATTGTATTTAACGAAAATTAAAGAGTTACTCAGTAAAATCTGAAAACCATATCGTAAATCGTTAATTTGCAAAAGATCAGTTCATCCTATGGAACTGGACTGTTCCTGTTGCAAAACATCACTCCATTGTCACTATTCATGCGTTTCATACAAATTCCATTGTTTTCTAACTCTTCCTTTCTTGATCTTCCCCCCATATTATGCTACCAGACTTTACGTTGACGTTCACGTCATATACTACTTATAAGTAGCTCGCACCACAGGAGTAGTCTTACAACACTAAGTGAAACCAGCCATCCTTCATAATCCTTCTCGATACAGTTATAAGAAACTGACTAGGGCTTCTTAGTTTAAATAGAGAATGCCTAGCCATGTGATCCGCTGAACAGCGCCCTCCACTGAAGACCCAAAACTCACCCTATTCACTTGCCGTAAACCTCTGATTTATTCTTCCAATAGTATAATACTCCTAAAATACTTACTACTGAGGGACATCCCTCAGTTCGGACATAAAACATATCTCCTCAGAAAAAAATTTGCTTGTAGAACTCCTGTTTCCTTTATATTCCTCGAACTGTCGTTAAGCCAACCAAAATTCCTAAACTGGCTCAGCTTTAAAACAAGACATCAATCTTCAGCACTATTTGTCGTCGCAATCCCAAAATTGTAAACCAAAAATACAGGAACTGGCAAAGCTTTTATTATGTGATATATATCTTCAAAAATTACCCACTAATGCCAAATTATTATCGTAGTGACGCGTACGGTGGGCAGCACAGTATTTCTCATCCGGTTGTTTGATTTGCCAATGAGCTTATAGTTGAAAGGTTTTGCTGGAAGATCACTAGTAAGGACATGATGGCGTAGCTAACCTCCCTTGCATATTGCCTAAGATCATGTAAATCTACTTTCAGAACTAATACGACCCTTGACTCTCCATTTAATTACGAACATCTTTATTTCATAGGAACCTTATCATAATCAAAAGGACACTTCAGTCTCTTGATGTGTGAACTAATTCACACTATGACATACATCACTTTAGCATAAGGATATTTCTTCTAAAACATTGATCTGAGACCTCACCAAACGGTGCATTTCTGACCATATCTGTCCTTCAACCAATATTACCGATAATGAGTACCATATAAATTTTGGCTTTCCTGCTCTTTTACCACACGATACTGGCATTTTCGCTTTATATTCTCTTTACATCGATTTATGAAGTCCAGTATGTACATTTCCTGCTCCAAGGTCGTGCTTCTAGTTCTCTCAAGGTTGTTATATGACCCAAAATTTAGTGGCGGCTAGTTTGCCTCCGAAGGCCATCGTTTCCTTGAAAATGTCATTTCTTAAAAACTGTCGTGTCTTGCTCAAGAGTGGAAATGCGGATATAGGAGAACAGCCACAACAGTATAACGTTATTTTGGAGAATCGGTTTATGAAAGGTGCTTTATTATTTGATTCGGGCACTATCGCATATATCAGTCCTTATGAGTTTGACGTTCGAAAGTATCAATATACAAAGGCTGTTGACGCTTATGCATGTCTTGGCGTATTGGTCCCTTTGATCTCACCTACATCGGATTCGAGCATTCTTACGCTACAGTCTTATCTTGTTTTGGCTACTGGGTGTAGTTCTGTGGGGAAGCTGCCATCGTTTGAAGTTTTTCGCATCACCAACGTGCAGTTTGTCAATTTAAAATATCAGGGGGTTGAAGAAGACATATTCTCCGATGTTAGTCTCAATTTTTCGCTAAAATGCGTTATTATATGACTCCTTTTAACTGAACTTAATTAATTAATACTTTTTTTCATAGTATATGTTACTTGCTTTTTAATATTAATGGAGTAGTTTATCGCATATTTTTTCTGACTTTCGCACGATCACTCTTTTGAATATTTATATTCAGTCAATCTGGCTGCATTTTTAATTCATCTCGTTGTGGCACTAATTTTAAGTTTTAGGAGACTATATCTAGTCGATTCATCTTAAAATTGTAAATTTATCATTTAAGAGTAGTCAAAAATTTGCGCGATTAATTTAATGTTGATATATTATCAGTATGTTGGTTTTAAATTCGGGGAATTTCGCCAACCATACCCACTGTTCAGTTTATTTATCCCTAAAATTTTTGTTTATTTTTATTGAGTCTTCAATTTCTTACATGATGGACTTTCTGGCAACCGACTTTGTCCATATTAATACAATGAGCATTCTAAACTTTAACTCTGATTCGTGTTCAAGAACAATTTGTATAGTATCATTCGTAAACTATCAATTTTATTTTTTTGAGTGTTAGTAATCTTTAATGCTATCTCGCTCTGCTGAATGAAGAAACAGATTCCCTTATCATCATGTTACTCCAGAAGTCCATTAAAATTTAGTTACAAACTTATGAGCATTAGTGATTAGAGACCTTTTCACTAGTGTTCAGTTAATTCCTTTCATACTTCGAAGTACTCTCATATTTGTCAGTGTGCGATCCAGCATACTGTGAATTTCGCTACTTATTTATATATTGTTGCATTGTACTGACCAAATGAACAGTTGTCGACGAGCAGTTATCTTCGTCAATTACTGAATGGTGTTTCTACTTCATGCCAAGTTTTCTGTAGTTCTCTCACCGGGAGAGAACCAACCCACAATTGTATCACTTTGTTTACTCCTGGTGAATCAGTTATTCTCATTCAATGTTCAGTGTTTTAAGTTCTTTCAATAGAAGTCGTCATGGTACTTATCAGCTAAATGTCTCAGTGGTGTTTTTTGTTTACAAGCAATACGTCATCATTTGATATTTTTATATCAGCAGAATTCACTCAAAACTGCAACATTATTTTAAATGTTATCTGATAACTAAATGAATCACCTTTGATTTAATTTTTATTAAAACTCCTTGTGCTTGATTAGTTTCTCAGTAGTTGAGTATCTTTTTCTCTTACAGCTGCGAAAATTACTGTCATCAGGAATGTTTTATTTTGCTCGATCCAATATTGATGGAAAACCATATGATTTAACTGTTAACATTCAGAATCGAAGTCGTCTGGGTGATGAAATTCTTACTGCCAGTGATATGTATGCTCGAGGTGATGCTGGACTGAATTTTTTATGGAATAAAGGGTTAATGGGACCGTTAATACGAGCCGGAATTAATCCTAGTGATTGGTTGGTATCCATAATATGCGGTGGGTTTGAGGTTTGTACAGTTTATTGCGGTGTTGGTCAAGCTCGAGTCGGTGTTATATCACGAGTGTCAGCTCAGAGACCTGGTACTCGTTTTCATGTACGTGGTATAAATGATTGTGGAGATGTAGCCAATTTTGTTGAAACAGAACAGGTGGGTAATTTTCATGGAGTTTGTCAGCTTCTATTCGAAATCACTTTTACTTGTGATAAGCTCTAAAATTTCGCCATAATGTTTCATTAACCAATGAGTTGTTCAATTATTGTTATGAATTATGATTTAATGAACCCTCAGAGGACTTAAAATAAGTGAATAGAATGCTAGTTACGATGATTAAATGTCATAGAGTAATAACAACTGTTTGCGACACCAGAATAAAAAACTCTGGACGGAATTGAGGTCGGAGTTAAGGCCTGAACAGCGTTCAGTTTCTTTAACGAAAATGCGTACTTAGTTACGAAGTATGAAGCACATTAATTGATACAATTAAGTCACTTGAAACATAAACGATTGGAATATACGGATTTCACTGGTCACTTAGATACTTATGAAAGTTAGACCTGGCTATCAGGTTTAATTCTTCCTTAACATGTCAGTCATAGTGTTAGTGTTATATGCATGGGCGTTACTACTATGTTTGACTCTTGTGGGGACTTTAAACGCATATTGAATTTCACATGGCTTATAAACAATCATCTAGCCTTATAGAGTTTATTAGATGTAGCACCCACCAAGTAGCCTTCATATGAATAAATGAGCGCACAAATTTCTTGACACTTAGTAATTACGTGGTATTTCGTTTAACGGAATCGTATATACACGTGTTAAACAAGTATCGCATTCAAAATCCATATATGTAAATCATTTTCGGCACAAGTTCTGGAGTAGTATACGATGACAAACAATGCATTTAGTTGTTATACTTGTATTATAAATGAATGCTAATAAACATATAAGGTAGTTTTATTTGTGAAATACGTATCTATGACTCCTGGAGCTTAAAATAGCAAAGTTGCCAAGTGACTAAAGCTGTCGAAGTATACTTACTAGGAATTATTTACTTATTTATGTAAAGCAAATATTGGGACAAGTAAGCACAATAAAAATGAGATTATGGGGTGATAAAGGAAGAACGATGAGTACAACAAAAATGGATTGAAATTAGTGTATGAGAGTGAGATAATAGTATTGACAGTGGGAAGAACAGTTCAGTTAATGAAAACACACTAAGAAAGAATCATTTAAGTTTAAAACATTCCTCTTAATTATCTAAAGAAAGTGAAATAAAGTTACGGCAGGACTGCCACGGGCTTCTATTTTGAACTATGTCTGATAACACCTCAAGCCACTGAGTTTTACTCTCTCCGGGACCCCAACCAGGGATTCATGAAAGAGCAACAGATGCCAGTGCTATATAGCTTTCTCTCATATCCTGACGTCATTTCCGCCTTATCTGATCGGTTCTAGCTTTGCAAAATAATGCACGGTGCAGAATCCATCAGAATGACATTTGCAGTGCATGTCCGAGTCATCAAAGATGACTACACCAATGGAATAATCGTTGCTGTGACCAAACACACGTTGCCGAACCTCTGCATTACTAAAAAACTTTCTGTCATCCAAGACGTCGGTGAATATTATTTATCGGTGTTCTATCAGCTTCATAGATTGCTTCATTCACGTCCGTCAGGGCGTGAGTAGAGGTAACGAAGAAGCATCGTTTAGACACTGATTTCTTCTCACTGTAGTGGAGCTTCCTAATCTACCAGTATATAATCGACTGTTAATGGGGATCCAGTCGATTAGCGTTGCCGCAGCTCTAGAAATTAGTGCGATACGAACCTAGCAAAATCAGATGATGTTATAGTGTCGCCGAGTAAACGCATTCAAAACAAGCTTTTCGAGGTGGCAGATGGATAACGAATGTGTAGTACGCTTCTAGAGTCGTGAATATGGATCTTGGATAGACAACAGAAATCTATGCTTAGGATTTCCAGATGCGTAGTCAGAATGGCCGGTTTAGGTGGCACACTAAGTTTCAGAAAGGGTTATTCGAAATCCATATTCGGTGGTAGTATCTTATTTCCAAACAGTCACTGACTTGAGATCGTTTAGACAAGACAGGATTTCTACCATAATCTAGTCGTGTATGAGTTGAAGAGTAAAGAATACCTAAAATAAGAGTACAGGAGTAAACAAGTTACGCAATGTAAAATAAAAATGAATGTTATCAAATTGTTGAAAATACGATTTATGCGAGTGACGGTTGATGCAAGCGTGAAATTTCCAAATTATTGTCCTAATTTAGTTTGTGTATGGACTATGGTACTGCAAGGGTGCCCAAATGAAGGCAGGTTATCTTCCTAAGAGGCCACTTCCAGAGCGTTTGACCAAAAAGTTTGATCTAAAGGGTAGTGAAGCGATGTTAGTAGTTACAGTCTCGTGGTAGCTGGCGACCAACAATAGGTCCGTACGCTATTCGTTCCATTAGGATCCTGGAGCCCATGTACACTATTGGTTTGGAGTCAAGGTTTTCCGAGTTCCTAAGGTAGATCCTCCGTAGCGTTTTTACGAGTGTAATTCGTTCACATTCAATTTTGTTTGTCAGGATATAATTAACTACCTGTTCAAGCTGTGTTCTGATTTTGGGGACTGGTTGACCGTTGCACAATGTTGGATGATACTAGAAATATCTTTATGAACGTTTGATTAAATCTAATAAACCATTAAATTATCTCATGTAACTTTATCCAATAATAAATTTAACGGCAAAAACACGATTTATGGAATAATATGAATTCAATCTATTTTGAGGTTTCTTATCAACTACAAATGGCATAAAGTCGCGATTTTTTAATATTGTTCTAAACAGAGGTTTACAAATTTTAATCAGCATAATAACACAGTGATATGCAGAAAACAAGGAGACGGTAAAAATCGTTTTATGTATTAGTTAGGACTGATGAATATTTATATGTTGTAAATAAATTTATGTAAGGAGACAGATGACATCATAAATACCGATGAAGAGGCAAAAGAAAAAATAATATCCATTTAATATATGATCAAATTACTTAGTTGATATAAAGTTAAAATTATCTTTATGAGTAGATGACAATGGATTGCCTTGCTTGTTCGTTTTAACATCTATTCATCAACCGCAAAAGTGATGTTAAATTTCTCCCTTTCATAAACAGTATATTAGCTTATATATCTCATAGTTAACATTTTTTTATATCGTTTTACAACTTACTTATATACTCCTGTTGCTACTCGCGTTGCATAGGCTGCCGACCAGCAATCTCAAACCGGCGATTCGGTCGGTAAGTATGAGAATAAACAGTGTTACAACTGACTTGTAGGGATTCACTAACACAAAGAAAATGCCGACCGTGCAATTAGTATGTGTTTTTGCCCTATTTTTCACTTCTTGATTAATTTTTGTCTTCTTGTTCTCCCTTTCTCGATTCACATCGATGTTATCAATCTAGATCCTCTACATATTGTTGTCTCACAAATTGAAATACTAATTTTCTTAGTACGAAAAAGAGCTATCAATTGATTTTTTTAAAAACGTTCCTTAGATTTTAAGTTTCAGTTAAACTTGTTTATCGTTTTGCAAATAATTGTATCATCATTCCTTGGTCTGTTCTTTTTTAATTTTATTTGGAAAAAAATTTATTCATAGTTTATCTATATGGGCGATTCAGTAAGTAGTTATATTCAAGTTCGTGGTACAGTTCCATTATTTTGGGAGCAACCAGGTTTACAAGTTGGTTCACATAAAATTTCACTTAGTCGACCGTTAGAAATATCAATGAGTGCATTTGAACGTCATTTTATGAATTTAATATCACAATATGGATCCGTTGGTGTTGTGAATTTATTAGGTTGTAAACAAGGTGAAGCAATGCTTAGTAAAGCCTACCAAGAACAACATGGAAGATCATCTTTTCGAGTAAGTTTATTTCATGTTAGCTTATATTTTTTTATTGATTATAAATGTTGAATTTTTCCTAAATGGATTAATGCTAAAGAATTTTTTTAATCACTTCTTCAAATCTATCTACTGAATTGAATATTGAAAGTTGGAAATTATTAAATAGTTATGGACTATTATTATTCGTTGATTTTGAAGACTGATTGTGATTTTTTTTTAATCAAGACTATTTTGCAAAAAGTTACTTATATGGCTAAACGTACATTATGAATTCCATTACTAACAATCATCCAAAATATAACTGAATTTAAATCAAATAGAGCTTGTTTAGCATCTCTTATGGTCACTTGCAACGTAGAACTTTGTACGTAAGTACATCAGTGCATGTCGCCATACCACATCAGCACAGAGATGTAATTGTCAATTCAAATCCAATAGTAGAAGAGGTAGTAAAGTTATTAGGAGTAATCGGAGAGGTTAGGATTAGAAGATATTATTCAAGAAGTATGATTTAATGACAAAAGTTTAGAAAGTCAAAACTAGAAGTGTTGAAAGATCCAGAAGATTAGGATTTGAGAGAACATAAAGGATAAATGAACCGGAGCCATTGCGAACGATTTTGAGCCATGTCATTCAAGGTCTCTAACCATCGATTATTATCATCTCGCGGACCCCAACCAGGTAGTCGACAATTACCGACATGGCCCATTCCTCTTGTCAGTGACTTCATGGATTTCTGCCATGTTTTGGTTTGGCCGCCCCTAGCTTTCTTCCAACCTATTCCTACACTACAAAACAAGGCTCGACGAGGCAGTCGGTGGTTGGGCATAGGCAACACATGTCCCAACCACCTCAACTGATGAAGTTTCAGTTTCATCATCATCAGCATCTCTTGTACAATAGTGGAAAGCTGAACTCTTTTATTATTTACACCATCGCTCTATATGAATGATATTGCTAATTTTTTTTAAAAGTTTTACCTTTTTTTTCCCGATCAATAATCGTTATATATATATATTAATTATAATTATGATGAATATCTAGATATTATATGCTGTATATCAAACAATTTTTTTTTCACATTGTTTATACTTAGAATGTGGCATTAACTACAGTTTATAACAAACAATATCTCTAATCTTATCAATTACCTTGTTTATCGGGTTATTTTCTCTCTGAACAAAGGGAGAGATATAGGGATTAAATTTTTCTAACTTTAGCTGAATTAATTCTATTGTCAATATCATGTGTTTAACAATGAAGTTTGTGTTACCTTTTCTAATCATTGATTGTCTTGTTTATTTTTTTTAAATCTATTTAATTATTTATTCTAAATTTTCACTAACTCAATTATTAACTAATAGGTATTTCAGTACACATTGTACATTGTACCACTATTGTAGTGAAGGAGAACACAGGTGGGTCAACCGAATTGTATTTAACAAAAATTACAGAGTTACTCAGTAAAATCGGAAAACTATATCGTAAATCGTTAATTTGCAAAATATCAGTTCATCCTATGGAACTGGACTGTTCCTGTTGCAAAACATCAATCCATTGTCACTATTCATGCGTTTCATGCAAATTGCATTGTGTTCTAACTCTTCCTTTCTTGATCTTCCCCCATGTTCTGCTGCCAGACATTACGTTGACAATTACATCATATACTACTTATAAGTAGCTCGCACCACACTATTGTTATAAATGAATAAAAATTGATCATTACTAAGACTAAAACGGGAGTTTCCCATTAAAATCCCTATAAATTAATTAATGTGCGTATAATAAAATGACATTTTTTTTATTTTACATTTCATTTATTCATTTTTCAATCACACTTGTTTTTGTTTTTTTTTTGTAACTAACTCATTGTTAAAAAAAAGGATAGTATCCACCATATTATATTTGATTATCATTCGGAATTACAATCAAAAGGTGCAAAAAGTTTAGAATGGATCAATCAACAGATCAGTCGATTAGTTAATGATTGGGGATATTTCTATGCAAATGGTCAACAAGTTGAATTATGTCAAACTGGAGTGGTAAGTATTCCAAGTTTTGTTTTTCTGTTTTAATAATTTAACTTCTTTGCATGAATGTCAACTTTATGAATCATACATACTTTTGTTTTTCTAAATTCTACTGCAAACATGAAAGTTTTGTGTGAAGTGACTTGTGGTTTATTTATACAATTAATGCACAGTTGTAGAGTAACGGCTTAATAGTCGTAGTATTTCCGTTTGGACTGGACAGTAATATCACTAGCTTCGTTACATAATAAAGTGTAACTTATAACTGAGTGTATTAGTCTGTATTTAACTGTAGAACTAGCAAATAAATTGTTTAGTTGACATTAATAAAATGATACCATACCACTGTATTTTTAATTGTAAAAGAGTGAAATTACAGTATGCTTTCACATGAATTTATAATATAACCATATAATGTATTAACAATCGAATTAAAGACAATTTTATTTAGTTCAGTTGAATTTACTTTTATTCTTTGTACACCATTTTGAGATGGTGAAGAAAATTTGTAGCTCAGGTGGATGATTGTGGTGGTGTTTTGTTCTCTGAGCTGGTTGTTTTGGTTGTGGAGCTTTCATTGTTCTTCTGAACAACATCATCAGCACAAACTTCAGATAGAAGTGAAGCATTCGAATTTCTCCACGTTTGACCTGTAGCTTGTTCTGCTAACCTCGATCTTGATTGGTTGCTGTTGGCTTTTGACCTATCGTTGTTTGCAACTTTGTTTTGATTGCACCTCCCTTTCGATCTGTTACCACACTACTCTTAATTTTGTGTCAAGTAACCTGGTATATTGTATTAGTTGAGTGTTCATATTGAACAAATGATAAAAATTAAATAAATTCTTTTTGTTCTAATCGAGATCCATCACCTAGGTGTACTAGTTTTTATTTACTTGAGGACTTCAACCAAGTATCTGTCCCTCTTATGTATTGTCCATTAAGTTATTGAGTTCATGTAGACACTAATTTACTCAGCAGGTTTAAAGTTCTGAGTTAGCGTATGTATCTTCCGACTCTTAATATTCAAGACATCTATTTTTCATCTGACTGAAGAACACGGTTATTTTCTGTAGGGATATCTGCACCCTGAGTAGACTCATCAATATTGTATTTAATTAAGAACCTTTAATTGTGATTTTCAGTTCTTAGATTTTAAAGGATAACCTTTTTTAATAGATTGATTTCATGCAAGAATGTTCCCATATTTTATGTTACTACATTTTGATTATATTTAATAATGATTAATATTTAGGCGATTTTCCATTCTATCTGGGTCTCATCAACTGAACGTTCACTAATCTAATTAAATATCACTGATACTTTTGCATCTTGGATCCATTATACTTTTCAAGTGAAACGAATCCATCTCAAAAATCTATATTAATAATTTGGGTTTACTTGACTGCTAGTGTATTCGAACTTGAAATTTTTTATAATGTGGCGCTTGTTTATTCAGGTGTTACTCTATCAATCCATATCATACAGAGAAAATGTTGGTTTACGTTAGGGTTAGCTTAAAAGTTCATTGTTTTCAGGAAAATGGTGGTTATAAACTGATCTCTCCACTAGATGTTGAATCCAATCAAAGCAAAGCCTGTTAGTATTTTGAGAAACTGTTTATTGTTAATTTGAACCGTGTAGGTAAATGTACATTTATTTGATTAATTTCATAAAATAATATGATATTTTTAACTAGAAACATCTGGTAATTAATCACTGATATCTCCATTCAGATGTTTACCACTCACAGCCTTTTGTCGTAACTTAAATTATCATTTCTATTTTCAGTCTTTTCCCTGTTTTATTTGTAGAAGTAGCAGTTTAAAATTGCTACACTGTTGTACCATTTCATGTCGTTCCATTTAATTAGTCAAACGTTCTATAGTCGAAATTATACTTAATTTTGAATGAACTGAAATTCGATTTTTATGTTTTTACTCAATTTTTATACTAAAACATTATAATACGGATTCCGATACATAACCAACCAATGTTTATAGATACTTTTTTTTTATTTTGTACCCAAACTATTGTTTTTCAACGTAGATACAATTTTCGATGAACAATTAACTGTTTATCTCCACTGATTGTATGTGTTGCATTGAACACATATTGTACTACCTTTCTCAGCGTTATTTTCATTGTATGTTGATTTCATCATAGTTCTAACAATTTTTGATACTAAAATGTGATATAAATATTTTGACTAGTTGTGTATAGTTTTAAACATATCGATTTTACTGTTGTTGAAAAATTCCCCCATTTACTTATCGCGCTTATTATCTGTACAATGATGGAGTAGTATTTAGAGCATGTAACTGTCAATAATTATATGATAAGTTCAACTTCTGTATAAACAGCTGATTAGTATCACTAGTTCTCACTTGAAAGTGTGATTTCAAACTAAATATATAGATTTGATCTTTCTTAATTGATCGTAACAAACCATGTAGTTCATAGGTAATCGTTTTTACTCAGTATCTTTCAGCATTAAGTTGTTTTGTGAGTTAATTTTTTGAGCTAAACCTAATAATAGAGATTAATAGATGGGTTCTTGATAATGTTATTTGTACTCTTCATTGGTAAATCTGTAGCGTGGTAATAGTTAATAACAATTTCAGCATTCATGAAGTTCAGTTTTCCAAAAAAATATGTTTGAGTATTAACATTTTCATTTGCACATCTAGTAATAATTGTTCAGTACTGACAATATAAGCTTAAATAACTCTCAATACTTTAAATGATAATCAAATTCAATAACCAAGTTTGTAATTGTTTTCTAGGATTCAATTGTAAGGTTTAATGTTACTTACTAGTTGAATTTCAAAACCCTCGTAGATTTGGCGCATATCTATCCCATTTATTTATTACTCAGTGATTGCAAGTTGTTAGTTTACAATGTATCGATTAATAGTTTATGTAGAAATACATTTAAATGATTCACTGAAATTATACGAATTCATATATATTTTGTTTGGTGGCAATAGGTTTGTTATGCATTTCTTAGGAAATCCGTCCGATATTTCATTAATGTCTCTTCCGTAGTTTTTTTTTTCAATGTACCTAAATAGAGTTTAGTCATAATTTTTTCACTAAAATGATGATAATCCGATGATGTGAACCTTTTTTTTCCATTTGCATTTGCTGATTATTTATTATATTTGATATTTAATAAGAATATATTTCATGTTAATTATTCCTTACTGTGTTTTCGTCTACGGAAGAAATGTAGACAACATATTTAACATATAATTGTTATATTTTCTACTTTATTTGCATATTTGAATTTTCTACCATTGGATTAATGGTGCTTATAAACGAACTTATGTTAATGAAAACTGTTACGCTCGTCACTTAGTATGATTGAGGCTATTACGAGTTTACCTTAGTCTATAAACGCGAACGCGATTTTTACCAGCGTCCAGATAGGCTACCTTGAATCCCAAGCTGTAAACAGAAGGCTTGGTAATCGTAGAAAGTATATTCTACAAACACCCAGCAATCACACAATACAATCAAGCATACAACTCTCGTTTATTTATACAACATGGAAACGTCCTTGAGACAGTTAAGAAAATAGCACACTAAAATACACAGCAGCCAATCACAGCCATAGATTTTCCTGGTGGGAATTGAAATCTCAAGGTCAACTGATCAGCCCATGCTGGCAAACGTAAAAACCAAAATAAGGCATTTATCAAGCGAATTTTGGAGATCTAACATCCCCAACAAAAGCAATGTATAAAATATTGAACATTATTATCATGTTACATAATTTCAATGAATTATTTGAATGTACTATCTTGTTGTATTCTGTCAACTGAACCGAATGAGTCTTCTCGGTTATTTGACTGTTTTAAAAATCTGAAATGTGTGCTTAATTATTATTAAATCATTTTCGAAGCATAAGTTTATGTACTTAGCTTTAAGATATACTTTTTGTTTAAGCGTTTTTACTAATCTGTGCAAATTGAAGCTGAGGCGACCGAGTTTAAATTTGTGAATTAATGGTTGAAGACTGAATGCATCAATCATTAAATCTACAGGTTTTAGCAACTTTGAAATTAAGTGGAATTTCAGTATAACAACAGTATGCTTCGTTTTCAGCAGCTGAAGTTGTTACCAAATTACTCAGTATACAGCTATGCAAATATAAAATGCTCATAGTACACGAAATTTTATTTGTCATTTTTGTTGTATGCTGTCTTAAAGATGCATGATGCACTGAACTGATGCTTCTTAGTCCCGGTTGCTAACCCTAACCTGCTAGTTCTACAACTAAGCAGGCCATATATATCCTTGCTACACTGACTGTTCTCAACTTAATGCGGATGATGTTTAAATATATTTCCAGATAGATCCACTATTGTTTTACGCCTGATTTTAGAGGCTCTATAGTGTATCATTGCAAACAATACTTGTCATTAAGTAAAGAGTTTAGTATCTATTATGTTTCACCGTGTACGTAGTCTACAACTATTATCTGTACACTTTGTTCTACTGATGTACGAAGTTAAACCGATCATATTAGTGTCAGGATATGTTGTGATAAATACAAAAGTGATGTTTTCCTGAACGCTTATCTGTATAAAAATTGTAGCATTTGGTGTGTGTTTTACTTGTTATACATCATCCTGTATAATATAAAGTTTTTCTCAAGTACTAAGTAGTTATTGTAAGATGATGCTAAAGTCTGTTTGAGTTAAAACAACAATTTTTATAAGGCTCTACGCATGTGGCTTAACACACAATTGTCCTCTGATTGAAATTTTCGTTTACATTGGAATTTTTAAGTAGATTCATTTAATTTTTACACCTTACAATCTATCATAATGGATTGGGCTTTATTTTTGATACACAATTTTCTCTTCCTTCATTTTTTGTCATTTTGATTTCTTCTTCATTTTATAATCATATTTTTCATTTATTAATTGATGATAAATTTTGTTTTTTTTTTAATAAATAAAATTCAAATTTCTGTTTATCGTTTGAAATTGTTGATTTCTTTGTTTATTTGTTTTTGCCTTTTAGCTTAGAATTAATTGTGTCGATTGTTTAGATCGAACAAATGCCATTGAAACACTTGTCGGTGTTCAAATAATCCTTCCAAAAATGTTAATGAGTCTAGGTGTTAAAGATCAACAAACTGTCATTAATCGTTTTGTTGATGGACTAAAACAGGTGAGTTGATGTTATTTGAATAAATTTCATTGTGTATCCATCAGTTGTTATTGTCAATGTATCTTTAATGTATTGTCAAACCATTGAGTTAGTTGTTCATTCATTTTTGATAATAATTTCTTTACGTCATATCCGGCCACGGCAGAGATAGGGGTGTCACGAATTTCTTCTGAACACATAAATTAGGGTTGGATGTACGTATTCCTATGGCTTCTGCAATGTGTAGGAGACGTACCATAAAATTGCGAAGTGGCTAGTGCGAATTTTAGAGCCATTGCATAAATCAGCTGTATGTACAAACGTACGTGCAAAAGACGTTTTTGAGTTCATTTCCAAGATAGAAAATATGAATGTTAGCAGGAAAAATATGATCTCACTGGATGTAGTTTCTTTGTTTACCAACGTACCACTCCTTGAGACCATTGAATTCATATGCGAGCAAATTAAGGAGAAACAAATCAATATTTGCTTGCCCGAAGATTGCCTAAGAGGTACGATGAACGTCCATTTCGTATTCAACAACAATTATTACAGACAAATAGACGGTATAGCCATGGGTTCACCTCTTGGCCCAATTCTAGCTGATCTCTTTCTAGCAAAGCTAGAAAATGGACTACTCAATGAAACTATTCGGAAACTTGATCTATATTGCAGTTACGTCGATGACACTTTCATCACTGTAGATCAGAACATCAGAAAAGAAAAACTCTTAGAACAATTCAACAGTGTACACCCGGCAATCACGTTCACTGGTGAAGAAGAATACGATAAAAAACTGAGTTTCCTTGACATCACACTAAGTAGAAGCGTGTATAGAAAAAATCCCAGTGCTTGCCAATACACTCACTTTTGTAGTTTTACACTTATCCGCTACAAAAGAAATTTGGTTAGATGCCTCACTAACAGAGCAAATATGATATGTTCAGTGGATACCTTAAGTCAGGAGCTGCAATTCATCAACGACTCACTAACCGAGATTGGTTATCCCAGCGCATTCATAAAGAAGTATATATCTGCCGTAAAAAAGAAGTCGGTGGTTTCGACCGCCCAAAAGAAGCCTTTATTTATGAAGTTACAATTCAACAGAGATGTGGCCTGCGATACTCTGCAGGACAGATTAATAAGAGTAATTAGTAGAACATTCAACGCTGCCAAACTTGCATTGACTTTCTCCAGTCGACCTGCGATGTCTACTCAAACGAAAGATAAGTTACCTGAGCTGGCCGCCTCTATGTGCATTTACAAATTCAGCTGCTCCTGTGGAGATAGCTTTATCGGGCGTACTTCCAGGCAACATAACCAACGAATGAGTGAACATCTCCCAGCATGGTTTACGAAGGGTCAGTCAAAAACAATACGCAGTTCTATCTTAGCACACCTGGTAGATAGTGGTCACATTGTAGGTAAATCTAGATCTTTTCGGGTGATCTATAGTATACCTCCATCATTTCCCAACGGAATTCGATCCTGTCTCCTACACATTGCAGAAGCCATAGGAATAATTTCTTTGTCAAAGAAGTATATTATTGAATTGCATTCAATGAATTGTTTATTGAATATTATAATCGACATGATTTTGATTTTAATAGTAATCATGAGTTGATAAGGAGTGTATAGTGTTTTGTTTTAATAAACAAATCAAAAAAAAAAAATTAAAATGAAACAAACTTTATGAATTTACCATTTTCTTTTTAATGTAAATTATAAATCAGCTTAGTAAAAGTGCTGAAAACACTATTTATTTCGATTTTGATGATAATCGAATGTTATTAGTGAAAATACGTTTTATATTTAACAGGTTGGAAGAAAGCTAGGGGCGGCCAAACCAAAACATGGCAGAAATCCATGAAGTCACTGACAAGTAGACTGAGCCATGTCGGTAGTTGTCGACTACCTGGTTGGGGTCTGCGAGATGATAATAATCGATGGTTAGAGACCTTGAATGACATGGCTCAAAATCGTTCGCAATGGCGCCGGTTCATTTATTCTTTATGTTCTCTCAAATCCTAATCTGGTTTCTTCAACAACTCCAGTTTTGACTTTCTAAACTTTTCTCATTAAATCATACTTGTTGAATAATATCTTCTAATCCTAACCTCTCCGATTACTTCTAATACCTTTACTACCTCTTCTACTATTGGATTTGAATTGACAATTACATCTCTGTACTGATGTGGTATGGCGACATGAACTGATGTATTTACGTACGAAGTTCTACGTTGCATCTGACTGACTGATTTTATATTTAACCTCCAGAAAAAAAAAGTCGCTTCGTATATTAATTACTTGAGTGTTGTATTCTGTCTCATATTGTTGAACTACTGATCAAATATGTATGTATGATCAGTAAATAACTGCTTTGCACTAACTAACCCATAAACTAACTAACTAAATTTTAGTGTTAATCTATCCCCTGTTGATATTTTCGTATTTGTTGTCAGTAATTCTTATTTCACTTGTTAATCAAATGTGGTAACTCACATTTTATTTTTCATCCAATGAATATGCATGACAATAATAAGTAGGTTTAAAGCAAAACATTTAAAAAACAATACAAACAAAATCTATGTAGATCTAATTAAAAATGTTTTTTCTTTTTTTTTAAAAAAAAATTTGAAATGTGTATTCATTCAAAACTAATCATTATGTGGAAAACAATTTATAAGCTAAATAAAAATATACACATGTTCATTACAGATTATTAGATTTGTACATATAAACCAATGCAAAATATTCATTCAAGTTAAACAACTGTAATAAATAATACTTGTACCATAGTTTATCACTGATAGAATAAAGCTGATAATAAAAGATATTGCTTTGTTTTTGGAGCAAAAAATAAATACAATACTAGTATTATAAGTAAATATCTAATTTATTTTACTGAATCATTTTAGTTCATGTTTAGTACAATGTTTATGATCATGTAAACTAAGTGATTACTTACTTACTTACTTACTTACTTACTTACTTACTTACTTACTTACTTACTTACTTACTTACGCCTGTTACCCCCAATCGAGCATAGGCCGCCCACCAGTTTTCTCCAACCAACTCTGTCCTAGGCATCCCTTTCCAGTTCTGTCCAATTTTTGTTCATTCCTCTCATATCTTTCTCTATTTCTCGGCGTAATTTATTCTTTGGCCTTCCTCTTTTCCTTTTGCCTTGAGGGTTCCATGTGAGGGCTTGTCTCGTGACGCAGTTAGGTGCTTTCCGCAATGTGTGTCCTATCCACTTTCACCGCTTCTTCCTGATTTCCTCCTCCACTGGTTTGTTCTCTCCCACAGTACGTTATTGCTGATCGTGTCTGGCCAATGAATCCGAAGTATTTTGCGTAGACAACTGTTAATAAACACTTGTATCTTCTGGATGATGGCTTTGGTAGTTCTCCATGTTTCCGCTCCATACAGTAGAACTGTCTTGACATTTGTGTTGAAAATGCTGATTTTGGTTTTGGTTGAAAGTTGTTTGGATTTCCAGATATTTTTCAACTGTAGAAATGCAGCCCTTGCTTTGCCAATCCGCGCCCTCACATCTGCATCGGATCCACCTTTCTCGTCGATGATGCTGCCCAGATATGTAAAGTGATAACTAAGTACAAATTTGTCTATTTGACTTTCAATTAAATTTGTTATGTGAATGAATGTTAATGCTAACAGTCATTTGTTTAAATAAATAGAAATAGGTGAAATAGAGTATAAATCTGAAACCAAATAATTGTAAGTTATGCATACTTTGACCATAAAGCTATTTTATCCTTTATTGAAGAACTGTAAACTTCTGGTTTATTATACAAGGAGTGCTAAGGAATCATTAATAATGTTGTTCTAATAAATGTATTCCCTGTTTATCTTCCTTTTTGAAAAACACATCGGGAAAACAGTTTAAACGTAAACTATTTATGTATATTATTTAGCTGTATATAGATGAATTGTTCAATATGTCTTGATTAATATTGTTGTGTATATTGAAGTGCACATAAACGTGACAGGAGTATGGTACCATGTTTGTGAAGTTATCAATCAATATGCTGATGGCTACTTTGTCTTGTTTATTCCAATTACTTTATTAAGTAATTTCTAACAATCAACAGTCATCGAGTCATCTGTTTCAACTTGATCACACATTTCTTTTTTGTTTGTTTGAAATTTTGATGCAATTGATGAAAGAAAGCATAACACTTGCATAACCTTGGTTTCTAATTTCAATCAGATTGAATTTAAAAATATATATTATGTTTAGTAATTTTTGAATGCAATTTAAGAAAGCACATACTTCTAAATCACATGATTGTCGTCACTGTGGTGCTGCTCATTAACAACTATGTTGACAATGATAATAAGGTCTTAAATTCTTTCCGTGTTAGTAGCAGAAATGCGACTCTCTGGTTTATAATAAGTGCCTAATTGTGTTGTTCACTTAGTCTTCAATGTAGATTTTTTATTTTTCTATTTTTTAAATTAAATTTTATTGAAAGTTAACGAAAATCCTTCATATCTATTCCATATATATATTATATATATATTGTTCAAAGAAATCTAGTCTTTAATAATCTTATATATTTTTTTTTGAATGTTACATTATAGGTGTGGCAACAAAATGGTGATCATGTTAGTCGTATATACGCTGGGACTGGTGCTTTAGGTAGTGGTCGGTCAAAACTACGTGATGCTCAACGTACAGCTGTTCGAACAATTCAGCATAGTTTTTTTGATGGTGCAAAACAAGAAGCCATGCACATGTTATTATCCAATTCTAGTTTACAAGGATGGATGAAACTTGTTGGAGGTTTGTTTATTTTGTATTATTAATTTGTTTATGCTTGGTTTTTTTAATGTAAAAAAAGCTAAATAGTTATAAGTCATGATGTGTTATGTAAGACATTAGTACCGATAATAGTTGGTTGTTCAAATCAAAGCAGAACTGTTGGTAATTTCTGCTATAACCTTTACTACTATGACATTTGATGAACTAACCATTCCATCTCTCTGGTGCTATTGTGGTATGCCAATTTGAAATGAAAGTTGTACGTTGCAGTTAACTGACTGACTGTAACTTATCAAGGGTTTGTAGTGATTTATCAAATAGCTAATAAAAATATATTACTGAATGATATTATTAGTAAGCTGACGATTTACATTAGATATATGCTATCCGTTGATGATGATAGGTTCATGAGATATATATCGAATTTATACAGTGTGTGATTCTATAAACTAGTATTCGTTTGCATATCATCAACCATAGGAAATTTTATAAAATGTGCCTAAACAGTTCACTTATACTTTTAGAATGCACTATTGTTCTGAATTAATATTAAATTATGATATCAAATACCGTTAACTATGGAACAGGCTTGAATACTTACTATACATGGTAATTAGTTATACTTTATGAGAAGTAGGAACTTTACATGCATATTTTATGTCAGTTGAAAAATATTTGTTTTTCTAAGGATGATGATGACTGAATTTGAAAGCGTATTCAGTAACTAGCTGAATTCAAATAACTCAATTTTATGTTACTGTAACATAAGATCTATGTACTGAGTTATGCGATTTCCTTTTAAGTTAGGTCTAAATCTTACTTTAATCACTTGGTGCTTATGTTTGTCGGTCGTATAAATGTTTTGCTTCTTAATTCCACACTTTTTACAGTAGAGCTGGAATGTTTGATATTTCTACAATTGATACGCGCCATGCGTGATAGTTTAAATTTAACTAAACCTCAAACTTAGAGTGATACTGAGAACATTTACCAAAATAACAGTAATCTTTGATGAGATAGCTTTTACCAACTCGATGAAATTCCAAGTTATTGAGCAATTTATCTTACATATATTTATTTATTTATTTAAACACAAAGGTTATAACAGATGTGGAACCTAGATGTTTATGAGCCGCACAAACTAGTGAGAGGGTAGGAATTTTGTCCGGGTGCCCAAACCGTAGTATGCTGCTTTCGCAGGCGGCCACTCCCCAAGCCTTTGACCTAAAAGTCTAATCCACAGGATAGTGGAGATGCAGTCCCATGGTAGCTGGTGACTAACAATACACTCGTGCGCCATTCGCTGCGTCAAGATCCTTCAGCTCATATGCTCCATTGGTATGGAGTCAAGGTTTTCCGACTCCTCTAGGTACATCCTCCGTACTCACAAAACTGGTTAAAGCACCAGATATTTGCTTTTCGTCCTCATAATTTCGTAAACATTACTTTTGTCACTAGAAAGCAGTTATTAGGACTTACCTGGTAGTGGCTATATACTCATGGCTGTATGAGAACATTTCGAGGAGAGATGAATCTATTCTTTTTTGCCTATCCCAGGGCATTTAGGGGTTAAAGTTTGAATGGAAGTATGGGTAGAATCAAGATGCCATCACTGATTTACACTCACCGAGTCGATACAACCGATAATGGAACTCCCGTCGTGAGTCGGCTCAGTCCACCAACCACCTACCGGCTGGTAGCAAGGCGTGCTACCCACTGCATCACTATGGCACCCTTTGCATATTGTCAGTCATCGACGAGAGAACAAAAGAATGTACTTTATCATTTATTATTTACGAATGAAGCGATTTAAACATATTGTTAGGTAAACAAAAATGTACACAAAATTTATTAGTAATTTCGTTTTACTTTTGTTATGTTTCCTATATTTTTTCAAAATAGAGCAATATCTACCTAAACGATTACTTCACTTAACACCTACACTATTGACTAATATTCTACATCGATATACAGAATTTGTTCAAATTCATAATCTACGCCTATTTGTTGGCACATGGAATGTAAACGGTGGTAAACATTTTCGTAGTGTTGCCCATAAACATGAATGTGTTACTGATTGGTTGCTTGATTTAGCCCAAACTGTCAATCAAAAAGTTAATTGGGGTTATAAAAGTCCTGATATTACTGATTCAGATGAATTAAATAAACCATTGGATGTATTTGCTGTTGGTTTTGAAGAAATTGTTGATTTGACTACGTCAAATATTGTCGCCGGATCCAAACCATCTGCTAATCACCGTGATTGGGGTCTATTTTTACAGCGTCATTTAAATCGTGATGTTGATGAACAAGATTCATACCTACTGATCACATCAGTTCAATTAGTGGGTGTATGTTTATTTTTATTTGTTCGTAAACGTCTTGCTGGTTTGCTTAGAAATATTGCTACTTCGTCGGTTAAAACTGGACTGGGTGGAACTGCAGGAAATAAAGGTGCTGTAGCAATACGATTTCAAGTAAGTTCTGAATACTATTTCTCTGACTCTGCTGATCCTGTATGTGTGTAGCATTATGACTTACTTAAAAATAATAAATTAAGACTTTTAGTACTTATCCATTGTAATATTTATCTTCAAATTGTTATTTTTCTAATAGGTGTTCAGTTTTTTTTACCGGACAAAAGAACACCAACTATTGTTGTTAAGTTGCTATCTTTTTCTAAGAAAAGTATGCAAATAAGTCTTTTACCTTTAACTATATATTCGCCTCGGTAAAAATAAAGCAAATTCTATTAATTTAAATAAAGAGCATATTTGTACATTATTAGGTTCTTTTTCAAAACATATTGTCTAATCATTACTGTATAGATTAGTTATAAAATTCATTTGTCTGTGAGGAACAAGCGCCATGGAATCCGTTAGTGTAAATTTTTAGGTTTTAAAAAGCATATTCCGCTACCTGACTAGTTCCGCGTTAACATCTCTGACCGTGCGACACTAAGTAGTATAGGATCGAATCCTCTCCATATTAAAAAACTTGATAATTATCAATCAGTTCACACGTAGTTTCACCTGTTAAACTTCCTGCCTTTTACCTTCTGACATCAAGCACAATAAATCACTATACGGAGTAACTCAGTTTAACTGGGACGTTTCAATCTGATTGACGGGATATGATCATAACTCAAGACTAGAAAACTCCGTATTTTCAATATTCAATCATCAACTGTTGTAGTTAGTTCTTACTTGAATTTACGGTATTATTTATATTATCAACAGTTCAGTAAAACGTAATTTAGTACCAATTGAATTACGACAAGGAACTATTATTATTATTATGATAAAAAAAATCAAAACATCAAATGCAGTCTCCTAGTTTTGTGTATTGTTAACACAAAAACCTTACTACCTTGATCATACATAGTTTGTCTCCACTAGAGTTCTATCGCCTAACAATAAAGTTTCTTCTTGACTGCAAATATCTACATTCTTCAATTATTTTTGAGTGCAGTGGTACATTTTTTGAATCGTAAATAAGGGATTTTTTTAGATAATCAACACTCGAATCACTTCCAATATTATTTAGTCTGGAAGGCTAAAAATGCAAGCTTAACATATTGATTTATTATTTTATGCTTACAGTGGTCTGATTTCCTCTTGAACGGACATTTTTATCCTCTGTAGTCATGGCTTCCTGCTGTAATCTTGGTTGGTTAAAAAACGGCCACACAAGTTTGTGTTGTACATATTCGCCACTATTTAGTTGAAACAGTAGACAGTGTACTGGGAAAAACGACTTTCCACTTAGTCTCTAATTCTTTTCAATGATAACACTGCTTTATTGACTGAACCTGAAAATTAAACTAAACTAAACTGGAACTTAGCAGTCAACTGATCTAAATCATTTCCTGATCAATTCCATCTTTTCCTCTTACGGATTCAACAATTTCAATTTATAAACACTGAATTAAGCAGATTTCGGCATCGTTTTTAATCCTGTATTTTAATTTGCTTTTTGTAATTTTCGGTATGGAGAATTTCAACTGACAATCTTTATTTAGCTTTGTTCATAGAAATACTAAAATACTGTAATGACATACAGGAACTTTAAGTAGAAATTTTGTTTCTATTGATTGATTCTTTGTAATCAAAATTTGCCCCTATTTCGTGTGAGCTCTATGTCACGTGTTCTTCTTGTGTCACTAATAATAGGTGTATGTCTATCGTTTTGCCTGTCTATTATAATTCCTTTTTTGTTTCTCAATCTCCGTATCGATATGATGTAGACGTTTTTTATTTGAGAAGTTTGTTGTTTGTTTTCCAATTATCGATCGGTTCATCGTTCTATGTCAACGTTAACTCCTTACTTCCATTTTTCTCTAGTAGTAGTTGTACCTACTCATGAGTAGTTAGTTGAAACTACCCAATATATTTTACGGATATTTTGGATTTTCTCATCGAAATCATTTTTTCTCTGTTCAATAATGAGTGCTTACTTAGCTTTACAAACGTTTATGTAAGTCTATGCAAAAAAACAGTAAAATGAGGTTGATATCATTGAAAGGAAATGATGATTAGCTTGATAATTAGTGCATTTACCAATTATTGCATAATTGGTCTCTGAATAATCATCAATAAAGCATGTTCAATAAATTCTGTTACGTATTTATGACGCCAATTGCTTTGATACGATCGAGGGTGGGGAGGGAAATACCAGAAGTGCTACTGTTTGTATTGCATTCAACTAGTGAACAATATCTATTTGTGATTTCCAAACTTCTCTGGTTAGTGAAAATTCTGTGTGTTCGATTCAGCCTCAATAATGTTGTTTGCTACTTTCCTACTTATGAAAAGAACTAAGATATTGTAGTATAGTAGTTGTTTAGGTATTTAAAGGATGACTGAAAACCCATTATCCTGTTTATTTTACTACTAGCCTCATTTAGATATACATGTATCGAAAGTGTTGCTGAGAAGCAGGATAGTTAAAATAACCCGAATTATGTTCGCAGTCACAGTTCATAACTTTATTTAACTATTCATTCCACTAACTTCAAGAAATCTATGTGTAGGTGTCTGACGAATGTTTTCTTTTGATTGATCGTCTTGTACGATAGGCTGTGTTTCAAATAAACTATTTATGTATCTATTTGTACATGATTCAATTTTAAATTGAACGTTTCTACTTTTAAGCTAATAATTTCGTTTATTACCCTACATGTGAACAGGATTATAACCTGATGAAAACATTTTAGTTTAAATTGTAGATTAACATCAGTCAAACAACCATTCGAAATTGGGTAGTGTTAGTATGAGACTTCTCAAAAATTGGTATCGAACATTGAAACTTAAAATCTTGTGTATGAGTTTAAACGTTAGACCATTTAGTAAGTATCAAATGATTGACTTATCTAACATTTGGTGACCATCAGAAAATATCAAAAAGGATGAATGCATATAAATTAGTCAAGAAATGGCTTTCTTTTCGAAGTAGGTGGGAGGTATATATACCGATGATTGGTTTTGCTTATCATTCGGTAGTCAAATCGAATTCCTAGTCCACTCCTGCCTTCTTAATCAATTATTCAATTTGTGGGATGGTCAGTGTTAATCAAATCATTCAGATCTGGGACACCACCATCCATCATAGTAGTATGAACCAATTTTTTTACGAGAACATCATTTACTGATGCTTGTTAACTTGTAGTGCTTTTTTTAGTTGCAAATAATTCAAATTAACGTTGTACTCACTCATTCTTCTCACGATAAATGTTGCTGGTAATTTTTTTAACATCAAATTTCTAATCTATACGCTCTACTTCAAATTAATCCTTACTCCACCCGGTTATCTTGTTTGTATAAACTTATACTACTTATTAATATTCAGTAAGTAACTTTATTTTCGACCATTTTAAACAAATGGCATACAAAGCACCATTGTTGTTTTGTGCCTTGGTTAAGTGTTTACTTGAACAGTTTCCATAATTTGTGCTCAACGTCTCCGTTTAGATTTTTGCCTTCTGTTGTAATCTTAAATGCAGCTAGCTAATAGCTGTTGAATGAGCTATTGTATTACCTATCGATATACATTTTCTTAGGCGTTTTTCATTTGATTCTATATTGACATGACAGGCTGTATACACGGTATTATCCTCGATATATCGTTATTTATAAATAACATTGACTATAGATTTTATGTCTAAAAATTCATATGTTGTAAATAGTCCTGTATTAAGGGATCAGCTAATATTTTTATACAATGAAATTTTCAATTTTAGGAAATAAGTACTATATTGAAATATTATATTTTATTACAGTTGGAGTTTCAATTGATGTTGTTTACTATGTTTTCTATGATAAACGCTATACCTCAAGATTACTGGAACTAACTGCTAGCCATATTCCATTTATTCCGTAATGCTATATCATCAGGACCTGGTAACTTATATTGATAACATCAACCAGTCAAAGATATATAACTTGACCATAATCCTCTATTGCCCATCTCATTCTCTATGTGTTTAGTCTAATGGTCATAAGGTTTATTTATTTAAAATTTACGAATTCATGTAGAAGTTAGCCATACTGTGATAGTTTTAAACAGCGCACTAAAGTTACCCCACTTCATTCATGAAAAAATATTTCTAATCGTTTTTACTTTTCAGGCTTTCATGGTAACGAACAAGCATAAAAGAAAAACCCAAGATTATTTTACTTAAGTTCAAATTTCTAGTTATATTACTTATTACCTTTTAAAAAAGTAGTTTTGTTCTTAGTAAATAAATAAATTTTACTATGTAGAAAACAACATCTAAAACAAGTATTTGTAAGTTGAACAATAGCTTTTGACGAAGTTCTATTCTAATAGTTGAGTAGTTGGAATCAAGCACTTATTGTCTTGATTAAAAAGTAATAACGGACACTCCTCTTCAGCTTAAAAAAACAATTAATTAAAATAAACACACATTTAAGCTATAGATTTTCTACATTAATGTCTACATTAATAGTCAGAATCATAAGAAACTATGATGCCCCTAATGTAAACTGCGCTCATGTGTTAATTTCAGAATACATTTCAAATTAACTAGTTGTTAAACACTTGTGAACAATTGAAAGTTATATTTTTCACAATTGCATAAGTAATCTTCTATATTAAATGAAATTGTTATCAGCAATGTTTGCATTTTAATTAAATTGATTTCTAAGATAAAATACAATGAAATTCTCACTTTGTTTCATTACTCAAATGTATGTAATATTAATGTGCTTACTATGAAGCCATTTATATAATTTTTGAAAAAGAAATTAAATACGTGCTCCATTTGGTTGGTATATTCATTTATTTGTTTGATTGAATGTGACTAATGTTTTTTTTACCAGTTAATGATGATGATTAGGTCACATACTCTTTGGTATATATTGATCATATATACATACACTTTGAGTTATCATCAAAGTATATCTATCTATCTAAATTAAGATGTATCTATATATTCGATACTGATGACCTTTTTTTTTCTTGTATAAAAAAATATTGATTTCTTTCGATATGGTTCAATTTTAAGTTGATAGATTATGCAAAAAAATTAAAAGCTTTCATATTTTCAGCTGATTACTACTGATAAAATCTTTGAATCGTTTTTTTTTATTCAGTTTTAAAAAAATAGATAAACTACATGAAAAGTTTAATAATAATAATGATAAGACATTAGTTACTGAATATTTTCTTAATTAAAATAGCTTTCTTCTTTTTTGACTGATTCAACAAAATAATCAGCTCATTCAGGAGTCCGCTGTGTGTTCATTCATCTGATAATCATTCTAACAATCGATTGAATAGATATTCACTGTTAAATTCTGTTAGGTTCGTCACTAGGTACGCTTGAAGCTATTACGCGTTCACCTTAGTCGATAAACGCGAACGGGACAATGAACCAGCGTCTATCTAGGCTACCTTGATCCGAAAACGGCAAAAGCGAAGTCTTGATAATCGTAGAAAGTATATTCTACAAATAACCAGCAATCACAATACAATCAAGTTCACAAATATCGTTTATTTATACATCATAGAAACGTCTTTGAGACAGTTAAGAAAATAGCACACTAAAATACACAGCAGTCAATCACAGCCAAGGATTTTCCTGGTGGGAAATGAAATCTCAAGGTCAACTGATCAGCCCATGCTCGCAAACGTGAAATCCAAAATAAAGCATTTATCAAGCGAGTTCTGGGGATCTAACATCCCCAACAAATTCGAATAGTTCTACATTTACATTTAAAACTGTTTGAATAAGATCAGTGTATTTTATGGTACTTTTGAAAATCATAGACAGACAGACAGACAGATACAACGCAGAACTTCGTACGTACGTACATCAGTCCAGGTTGCCATGCCCCATCAGCACAGAGACGCAGCTGTCAGTTCAAATCCAAGAGTAATAACAATAATAGGAATATTAGCAGTAATGGAGAAGATTAGGGAGCGAAGAATTATAATTCAGTAAGATAAATTTAGAAGGAGAAAGGTAGAGATTCTGAGGAAGGCAGAAGCTTAGAATTTCATAGAACACAAAGAGTGGATGCACCTGCGCCACTGCAAACGATTCTGAGCCATGTCATTCAAGGTCTCTAACCATTGGTGACTTTCGTCTCGCGGACCCCGATCAGGTAGCCTACATCTACCAACATGACTCAGTCCACTTGTCAGTGACTTCATGGATTTCTGCCATGTTTTGGTTTGGCCGCCCCTAGCTTTCTTCCAACCAACTCCTACATCACAAAACCTAGCTCGTTGCGGCGGTCGCTAGTTAGGCATACGTAACACATGTCCCAACCACCTCAACTGATGAAGTTTCAATACTTCATCTATTGACCTGTGTTGATTTGCCGTCCCTACCTAGAACTCGTTTCCTAACGACAGCATTGCTTATATGGTTGTCTCAGGATACACGAGCAATGCTTCGGAAACATCGATGATCGAAGACTAGTAACCTCCGGAAGTCCTCTACTCTTAACGGCCAAGTCTCGCATCCGTACAGTAGGATGGAGCGAACTGCTACACAGTACAGTCGTTTTTTATTCGTCAAACGGATATCTCGCCTGGGCCATAAGTGATGCAGGTTATCAAAATTTGAAAATCATAGTTGAAATTCTAAAAACAATGAAGAAGTGAAGTGAAACAATTGTGATCCATTTGAATTTTCAACAATGTACATTTAAGTCTCCTTTATTTTCTATTACTGATAGTGTAAAAGATGTGCCTTGATTAGTTTTGACATAAATTAATATTGGCAAACAATAATGTGTACCGATGTATAAACAATTAACTAAGATCATGATTACTTTTCAATCTTTTTTTTCTATCTTAGTTGGGTGCAACTTCAATATGTTTTGTTTGTAGTCATTTTACAGCTGGTCAATCAGCTGTACGTGAACGTAATGATGATTTTCAAGAGATATGTCGTCGTCTTAGTTTACCGAACGGTCGTAATATACTCAGTCATGATTATGTATTTTGGTGTGGAGATTTTAATTATCGTATCAATTTATCCGGAAATGAAGTGAAACGATTAACTGCACAATCTGCTTGGCTTGATCTTTTACGTTCTGATCAATTGACAATTGAAAGATTAGCTGGTAATGTTTTTCGTGGTTTTGATGAAGGTCCTATTCGATTTGCACCAACATACAAATATGATTTATTTTGTGATGATTATGATACTTCGGAGAAAGCACGTTCACCTGCTTGGACTGATCGTATATTATGGCGTCGTGTGAAATTAACATTTCCTAAAACGGATGAAGATGGTATTTTTTGTATGCAAAATAATTCTCCAGATGTAAGATGGAATCCTGGTCGTTTATTATTATATAATCGAGCTGAGTTGAAAACAAGTGATCATCGACCTGTTGGAGCAATATTCAACATTGACGTGAATGTGGTAAGTATTGAAATTCTTGATAAAGTATAGTCTCACAAGTTTCTGCCATGTCTTGACGTAACATCGTTTCAAACAGTTACTCTAAACATTTATTGGATTGATGATTGCGTCAATAAAAACAGTTATGATGTAATTTGCAAAAGTTTAAATACTAATTATTTCAGTTATTTCCAATGCCTAGGTTAAAGAATTTCTAGATAGATCAAATTAAAATATGATCTAATATTTTACAACTAGTAACTAATGGTTTAAGAAAACGGTTTTCATATATCTATTTATTAGTGATTATGTAATCTACTTTATTATTGCATGCAAGGTTCCTAATTTTATAAATTTAATTCACTCTCATCTTTTTCAATGAGGTTAGCACCGACAGTAGCTCCAGGAATGGTTCCAGACGGAGTTATTAAGATATTAAAAATTATTGTTCTGAATATTAAGATTTCTTATAACTACTACACTATATCTCAGCCTTATGTATTTCTCCTTAAATTCATTCATACGTAACAGTTTTATCTTTAATACTAACACGGTTAATTAATAATTAATTAATAATTCTAATTAATGTTAAATAAATTTACCAATTATCTTATCAATAGAAAATCTTCACTGTCATGTATTCATATTTTCTGCATTTTTGACAGTTTTTTTCTTTTAAAAGAAAAAAAAATATGTATATATATATTCATGTTTTAATTTAAATTGAAATAGTTTTAAAATTCTTCTTAATTAACTATTGATCCTCATCATCAAAAAGATGATTAGTTTTTAAAAAATGAACTATAATGGAATGTTTTTAATTATTTGGAGATTTGTAAAATCAGAGAGTGGAGATGCTTTTTTTATCAACCTCAAGTAGTTTTAAAGTTTATTTCAAAGGTACAATATTATTATACATGTAGTTAGTTATTTTACAAACATATTACAAACAGATTAAAATTATATATATATATGCTGAACAAAATAATACTTTAGCTATACTGTATTCACTTTGGAGCATATATGTAAAACGTCAGTTTACATTTCAGTGTGTTGAGAAAATCTTTTCTCTTTCTAAATGGGGTCATAAACAGTTTTAATGACTGGAGTATACAGGTATAATTGACAATGTAGGTTTAAACTTTTTTCTCACTGTGTATTCAAACTAACTGTTAACATAGAATGCAAGCTACTTTGAGTTAGCTTCTCTTTACAAATTATCATCGTCCACAATTATACTACTAGTTGCATCTAGTTCTGCGTATTGATAAATTACAGACGTCATATTAGTTAGTATTATCATTTTAGTAATATAATTTATTAAAATATATTGTAAATTATCTAACTTCTTCTAGTAGTCTATGTTAAGTAAAGAAAAGTTTTGGAGTAGATTATTTCCACTCTGATAAATGATTAGATTATACATATATCGCAAACGTCTAACTATATCGAAAACACGCTGAAAATGAGCTCATGGGTTAACAGAAACAGGCTGAATTCATTCCCTGTATACTAGCAGCCATGGGCAAAAATACAAACTTTTCTAAATTTTAATTCTTTATTAAGGTTATAGTACAGTGTGAATTTCATTGATTATGTATTTTGTTTTTTTTTATTTTCCACATTGTTATCTAACATCTTAAGTTTAAATCTTCTCTGTATATTGTCCAATGGGGTTACTGGTTGTATGCTTTATATTTTGCTTAAGATCAATTGTAATATTATTAGTAATATGGAGGGAAATATTTTATTATACTAATTATGAATTTATATTTTGTATAATCTTTCACCACAAGGTTTCACCACAATCACGACGTAAAGTTATCTTAGATGTTATTGAAGATTATGGTCCAATCAATGCAACTGTTCAAGTTTGTCTGAAAATTGTAGAAAGTAATTCAAAACAATCATTATTTGAAGATATTAAACCAAACTTATTCAATGATACAGACTTCATAGAAAATTTGAAATTGATTGCATCATCAAGACATGGGACAATTTTACTTTTACATTTCTTAGATCCACTTACTATCCTATTGGTTTATGCTAATTCTAAGTAAGTTTATTTGCTGATTTATGATTATTAATTTTACAACAACAGTTAGTTATCTACAACGTAAAACAAGAAATGTTGTACTTGTTTCAATCCAGATTATTTCACCATAATTGTTATGTTGTTGAAATAGTCTATTTTCGTTGTTATGACAAATGTTTGCAGTATATTGGCTAAGGCACTTTTACTTCAGGTTGAGCAGAGATAAGACTAAAATCATCGAAATGCTGTAGCAGGTGGCACGGTGTTGCTTATAATTAACCAGCATTTGGTTAACGTCGGGCTTAAACATTCTACACGCTTTTCCTATTGTTTAGAATTCCAGTGTGTACTGTAAAGCTCAAAATTTTACGGAAAAAATACTAAAGGAATGACTACCGACAAAAAATTCCTATGTAATTGACTATAAGCCGTTATACATTGAACTTCTCAGTCCCTCTACGATGTCTTGCAGATCAATAATGATAATTTTGTATCTTCTTAACCCTTTTCCTATTATGTAAGGAAGCTGAAGTCGCGACCTTAAATTGGCATTCGACTCCGTTGATCGTGAGGTTCTGTGAGTATCTGTCATTAAAAGGCGTACCGAAGAAGTACATTAACCTTATACAGGCTCTCTACTCGAACACTACTGGCCGAGTGAGAGCTTATGCCGTACTGTCATCTGTATCTCTCAGGGTTGTCCACTCTACCCATTCCTTTTTAACTTTGTCGTAGAGATGCTTCTAGAGTTAACTTTATCATCGTCTGACTCTTGAGCAGTGAACCTTTTACCAGGAGACACGTTTGCTGACTTAGAATATGCCGATCACATAGTTCTATTCGGTGAAGACGCTGACGTAATGCAGAGTCACAATGCAAGCATGTTCAGGATGCGCTTTTCCCCATCGAAATGCAAAATGCTGCTTAAAGATTGGTTTGCATCGGCACCTGAACTATTGATAGGGAGTAAAGTAGTTGGGCGTGTAAACCGCTTCACTTATCTCGGGAGTCTCATCAGTGCTGATTTCCCGGTGATTGACGAAATCTCAGCATAGATACAGAAAGCTCGATTGGCTTTTGACAACCTGCGTCACTTATGAAGCAAGCGAGTAAGCAATGCTGTTGTTAGGAAACGGGTGCTAGGTAAGAATGGCAGGTTATTAGATGAAGTAGCGGAACTTCACCAGTTGAGGTGGTTGGGACATGTGTTACGTATCCCTCACCACTGACTGCCTCAAAGAGCTATGTCTTGTGGTGTAGGAGTAGATTGGAATAAAGCTAGGGGTGGCCAAACCAAAACATCGCATAAATCCATGAAGTCACTGACAAGTTGACTGAGTCATATCGGCAGTTGTCGACTATCTGGTTCTTGTCCGTGAGACGACAGTAACCGATGGTTAGAGACCTTGAATAATGTGGATCAAATTTGTTTGTAATGGTGAAAGTGCATTAATTCTTTGTGTTCTCTCAAATTGTAATCTCCTGAATTCCTCACCACATCTATCTTGCTCTTTCTAAATTTATCTCACTGAATTACACTTCTCAAATCATATCTTCGAACACTAATCTTCTCCATTACCAGCAATACTTTTACTATCTCTACCACTATGTGATTTGAACTGACAATTGCGTCTCTGTGCTAGTGTGATATGGCAACTTGAACTGATGTACTAACGTACAGAGTTTTACTGACTGACTCACTTAGTACTCGTTTCCTTACGATACACTGCTATAACTAAACTGTATTCATTATTAGCTTTTCATGCTGCATTGTTAGAAATTCTTTTTAACTTTGGGTTCAGTAATTCTCAACATAATGACTAACTCGAAATGTTTATAATTTGGAGTCACATCAGGTTTCTTTAAGGTTTTATTAACCAACTCTTTGCTGCTATGAAATAAAAAAAGACTTCTGTCAGGTTATTAAAAACGCGACTAAATTCAGTCAGTGGAGCAACTATTTTCATCTGCTGGCTATAATTTAATTTGTATAATGTGTCTATTTACTTCTAAACTAATTCACTGGTAATATCTTGAACAGATATATTAAACATGCCATATTAGAATCACAGAGTTAACTAATCTGAAGTTCCGAAAAACAATGAAATCTTCACAACCAAATCATCATCATCCAACTGACAGAATAAAAACTCCATCAAAATGAATTTAACTTTGTTTTTGTAATTGTTAAAAAAAGTCTCTTTCATTTTGTAGCTGTTAATCAATAAATAAACTACTTCCTTTCTCTCTGCAAAAAATCTCAAATGTAGTTTAATTTAAGAAATTTAGAAATATAATTTTCCATTTTCGGATATTTTTCTTTTCTTTTTCTTTTCCTTTTTTGGAAAGTTGTTTTACTCTAATAGTATACAATTTTTTTCTTTCTTAGACAAGCATCTATAGCTGCTTCATTTTTAAATAATTATGTTATACCATGGGATGGTTCATCAAATGGTTTACCTAGTATTATTGAGGGTTATGAAATTCATTTATCTACTTCATTATATAATTCTACGAATTGGTTAGATCGAATGCAAAGATTAGTTGAAATTTCTGAACGTGAAGATTCTAATATACAAGGTTGTCGTATACCAGTGGAAATTTTCACTGCATTACCTTTAATAAAGAAATTAGATAAACAAAGACCTAGTAAATTTTATGACAATAATGAACAAACATTGAATAGTGATGATAATGAAGATGTTGAAAATGATACAACTAATAATTATGGTATCAATCGAACTGTTGAACAATCACAACGTAAGTTTTTTTTAAGAATTTAATGATGAATGATCTTCTTCTTTTTCTTCTTGTATTTCTTTTTTGTTACTAAAAGTGTATTTACCACCTTTATTCATGTGGTCATGTTGCATTCTATCTTTAGTTGATTTTCAAATTTAATATTGTTCATTAGATTACTTTCATGTTGACAGAATCTTTTTTTCGTAACAATATAAAGTTGTGAAGATTGTTGAAGTTTATTCAACTCAAGAACTGACATGTAAGTCAGTGGACGGCAGTTTCATCCTAGTATGATACCTTTCAGAATTACAGGTTCAGGATCTCGTTACCTGGAATCGAACCGAGGACCATTTTGGACTTCAGCACAAATTCCCAATCTTTAAACTGCTTAGCCGGCATCCATCAGTGTTAATGTCTTACTTCAAGCAATTAACGATCTTGCGTGACTGTCTTCTAGTCCTTTAGTTGGATATCTGTTTTACATTTGACATTTTGTTGAGCTTCACTGGCCTTGTCAATCAGTCAGTCAGATGCAACGTAGAACTTCGCACGTAAGTACATCAGTTCATTCGCCATACCACATCAGCACAGAGATGTAATTGTCAATTCAAATCCAATAGTAGAAGAGGTAGTAAAGGTATTAGGAGTAATCGGAGAGGTTAGGATTAGAAGAAGTATCACTGGCCTTGGCTTCTCATTATAACTCCAGAACTACCGGCTCAGATGTCTAGAGGTTGGTAGTTCGTGCTGAAGACTGAAGGTCCTGTGTTCGACTCCCGAATGTGAGGTTACCTGTGTTCATTGCTGAGATTCCCGTAGTAGAATGAAACAGCCGTCCATTCTTTCCAGGTTTTTAACAGTTGTCTACTTAAGATCAGTTTGTGATTGAAAATCCACGAAAATTCCATAGTATCCACAAACCAAACACTAAAAATATGTTTATTGTTAGTTGATTGATAAGGCTGTTTAAATGTTAATTATCCTTTTACATTTTGAGTTCTAGTCGCTGGGAACAGCCGTTCCTATTTTAATCCTTTTAATTGAAGTACACACATATTTTTACACGTATTACATTTCCGTATGCAAATTCATTCATTCTAGAATATTGATAGGTCTGTCATTCGAATACTTAATAATAACTTTCTAATTGCTTTTTAGTTTTCCAGAATACTCCTACATTTAGTCGCTGAACAGTAAAGAGGTGGAAAATATGGAAAGTTTTATTTCAAGTTTAGTTTCTGAACAACATGTACAATTACTTATGTGTTTATGGATAACCTGGACATTCTAGAAACTTCTTGAAGCATTCTATTATTTAGTCACAAAATAGGCAATAATCTCATTATGGTGTGACGCATAATTCACCGTTTTTCTAGACATTTCTTTCAATTACCCTAAGGATATCGATTAAATAGGAACATTTGCGTATGGTCTTCGTCACCAGTTTTTATGATTCCTGATATTTACTTCTATTTTTCTCTCTACCTTCTATTCAATTCACGTTCTAAGTTTAGCTCATTTATCAAGTATATGTGCATAGATTCAGTTTCAAGCATGTGATAATCTGCAATTACTTAGAATGAATAGGTTCGAGCTAATTTTGAACCTGTAACCTATTGTTAAGTTCAAATGCTCTAATTGAAAAACCACCTATTTATTTATAGTTTGTAGGTAATTATCTATTTTTCTACTGTTCACAATCAATTGTTCATTTGTTAATTTGACTGTTTGAAATACAAATTGGTAACTACTCAAATTTATATGTAAACTCATCTATACTGTGATGTGCGCTAAGTAGTGCATGACGGGTGTATGGTAAAAGAAAGACATAGGGCAAAGAGAATTAAAAACTGAAAGTGATTAAAATAACAACATGATTCAATGAACTTCGAAGATTGTAGAAGTTAGCTCAAAGAACATGTGTGAATGGTACATTCATAGTTTACAAAGTGTAAAACTTTCCATCATATAATGCTTTATTGCTTGCGCACGTCTTGGTTCATTAAAGTACTGCTTGTAAAAATAATATCCATCTTTTGAAATGATACTGAATAATGACGCCCATATCACTTAACAGTGTTTACTAATCAAATAAATTCTGATCCAAATCAGTAATCAACCGTCAGTCTTCAATATCACCAAATAGATTGATAAGTAAATGTTAAACAGATCGCACTGTGGAATAAATGAATTCATTGTGTTATTAACTAATATCATGTTGAATATTATAAATTAAGCTGTGAAGAATAGATGCTTCTATCTAATCAACTAACTACCTGAAATATTAGTTTGCCACCAAGTATTTCATTGTATATCATAGTAGGAAGGATTTGATTTTGACCAATTTGGTCTCGTGTGCTGTTACGGGTATGAGGGCAGTTGTCATTTCCCGGCTGCCCACACCGTGAAAGGTTGTTTCCTGAGGGACCTGAAAAGGAAGATAGATTAGTGTTGGTCTTGGAGACCTGGGTGCATGACTACAGAGTCCAAGGGACAACTGCTTGAGGCCGGTCACGCACGGCCTTTTCATGAAAGGTTTTTTGAGTATTAGCTCCGCTCTTTTTAAAGGCCCTTAGTGGGCACCCTTACCCAAGGAGACGGAAATCCGTGAGGTAGGGTGAGGTGTGACATTTTTTGGGTCGGCCTTTTCTAACCCTTCGTTCCTTGTGAGAAGGCAGCATCGCTGCAGATGCTGGTTGTCCGAGGGAAACACCTTACTGCTGTCACACCCCTCTGCAGTCAGCAGTACGACTTCGCCCTGAGACCTTGGGTACCTGCTTTTAGTCTCATCGTTCTTCAATCGACCTGCCTGGCATGGTAGGACCTGCAGGAACATATGTCCCAGCCAGTATAGCTCGGTTGGGTCATGACGATAGGCAAGCCCGACCACCACGTCAAGGTAGCAGCTACGGTCGGGATTGTATATCATAACTAGTTTATTTGCAAAATAATTATACAAATAGGCTATTTTTCTCTCTATAAATGTTTTTTTTATTGCGAAATCAATTAACTAGCTTCATATTGTTTTATATTATTATTTTTGTTGTTGTCCGCCTTAAACTATTATAGCAGCTCCTAATCGTCCACCACCACCTCGAAGACCAGCACCACCTGCACCTAAACAAGTAACAAATAGTACAAGTTATAAAAATAACTACTATGATGACTATTCAACTAATAATAATTTGATTGATGATAAAGTTGATTCAAAATTAAAGATGTCCTCCAAATCATTTTCACAAACCAATTCACCTGTTCATCATGAATTCTCATCAAAATTAAATCCTATCATATCATCAAATGATTTATTTATACCACCATATGGTGGTGGTGGTGGTGATGGAATTCATATGGTTAGCAGTTGTGTAGATCTTAATTTTCGAGATAATTCCACTGATAATAATAATGATGATGAAAATCGTATCTCATCAACAGTTGATCTAATTGGACTTGAATTTGACAAGAAGAATTCCATTACCATTGATGATAAGACATCATTGTCTACTCATTTGATTGATGATTCAGTGATTGGTGGTCCACCTCCTCCACTACCTCAAAGATTAAACAATATGAACGCATCTCATTTACAACAACAATATTTGTAAGTTGTTTTGCTGTAAAATTATTGTCATTTATTGATTAATAATAGCTTAGTAAATTGTCTTTTTTAATATAATTAATGACGACTAGTTGAAATCTCTTGTTTCATCTTGTTTGAACTGCTGTAGTTCTATTTATTCATACTGGAAAAATCATTGTTTTTGATAAAAATAATATATACGTGTCGTGAACCAGGAATGAAATAACAGTTTACTACTACTTCATGATCTTTACTGATGATGATCAATTTGATGTAATGTGAACACTACTTTAAACAGTATTTTGTCAGTAAACTAACAACTCATGCGTAAACTATTTATTTTCATAAGATACAAGCATAATTGACCAACTAAAATGTTGTCTAAGGTTTTTATTTAAAAATTTACGCTACCACCTGCCTAATATTTTCTTGAATATTAGAAATCCAAAATCAATCACTGTATGTAATCAGGCCTCATTTAGAATCGATTCACAATTTTGTTTCAATACCATTCACAAACAATTACACGATTTCTTCTTCTTCTTCTTCTTGAAATTTTCAAGGCAAATTAAATTTTTCTTGTTTATTCATGCTTCGTGCTTTTTTTTCCTTAATTTTTTATTCCATTTGTAATAAATCTTTCTGAGATGCTGTGAATCCTACGGAAAAATAAATAACCTATGACTTGGATGGACTTTTTTTTATATTATTTTTTATATTACTTTTCTTATTTAACAAATTTTTTTCTGCATACATTGAATCGGTTTTTGTTGGGGATGTTAGATGCCCAAAATCCGCTTGATAAATGCCTTATTTTGGTTTTCACGTTTGCCAGCATGGGCTGATCAGTTGACCTTGAGATTTCATTTCCCACCAGGAAAATCCATGGCTGTGATTGGCTGCTGTGTATTTTAGTGTGCTATTTTCTTAACTCTCTCCAGGACGTTTCTATGTTGTATAAATAAACGAGAGTTATATGCTTGATTGTACTGTGATTGCTGGGTGTTTGTAGAATATACTTTCTACGCTTACCACGACTTCTGTTTTCCCGTTGGATTCAAGGTAGCCTACTTGGACGCTGGTAAAAGTTTCGTTCGCGTTTATCGACTACGGTAAACTCGTAATAGCTTCAATTATACTAAGTGACGAACCCTACAGCTTTAGTCCTCTGTTGTTGTTTTTTTTTCTTACAACAAAAGCAAACTTATCAATTAACAGATTGGGTCAGATTCAGTTTTTCATTTTATTTATTTTTTTAATGGTGGAAATATCAAGTTTTCGTATTCATTCATGTTCGCTAGATATACTTTCTTAAAGTGTATACTTTAAAATTTATTGTTTGACAAGAAGATGGTTTTGCAGTAAGAAAAGAGGTTTTTTCTCATACTGAAACAGAATGTACAAAATTTCGAAGTTATTTAATGATATTTCTGTTATAATTTTGCTATGTAGCAGCTTTTCGAAATCCTACCGATGATTGACCAAATTCAGATATTTCAATACGACCCCAACTACTGTCCATAAAATATCCAATATATATTAGAAGTTGTTTATGAAGTCGAGTACAGAATGAATGAAGGAATGAATAAGAAGCTTTACAGATAATGCATATTTATTGAAGTTAGGTCGAATAGAAAACAACATTGGAGTCTGTGACATTGATAGTTAGGATAACCAATAAGAAACAACATTTGAAGTGACATTGACAGTTAGGACGACTATAATATTGACCAATAGAATTAGACTTCCTAACAACTTCTAAGTTTAAGAATTCGAAATACTTTATTTTTGCTTGCTTACTTACTATACAGAGTCATTGAATTGAATCAGGGAATATGTTTAAAAAAAATATGTTTCGATCACAATTTCGATCTCAGTTGTCATCGACAGACATCCCTAATTAGATTCATTGACAGTGAAATGGATGATTTAGTTTCGAATTTTCTATGTGAAAAACTATATCTTTCTAACAGAATACAATAAGATGTATAGATCTTAATCAATGGCACATTATTACTTATCTGCCAATATCTACAGAAAAAGTAAATACTATAGTATATCATATTTAACTTCATTGTATGTTCACGTATATAGAACCATACAGAATAGATATACCAGTTTGTAACACTTACTGCTACAAATAACGATAATATAGTTATCAAAGCATGAATTTAACAGCCAACATTTATAGAATCAAATATATACACTGTAAATGTTAGAATGTGCATCAAATATTCATTTCTTAATTTTTGGTTTTTTCTTTCATTATAACAATTACTAACCATGTACTAAACATGTACACTGAATTCTATTTCTTCTTCTGTTGATCTTCCGAAAAGACTGATTCCATTCAGTTAGATTGACAGAATAACCGTCGTGTTCTCTTCTGAGACTGCGCTTCTTGTTCTCGTTGTTGTTGTTGTTTTTCTTCTCATCCATTTAGGTTCGTTTGTTAAGTACAAATAGTACGGTAATTGGCTGTAAAGTAGGCAATTCAGTAAACTCGGTTGTCAAGAATATATTGATGCATTGTGAAACAGGGTTTGAACTCACCGCCACCCCCCTCCCGAGTCTACTAAATAAAAACTAAAAAATGTTTCAATCACTAATTTTTCCTGTTTGCATTCGTATCAGACATTTTACAAGAATAATTATCTAGACTGAATATTGAAGTTTTTTTCATGAATGAATACTGTAATCACGATTATGTATAAAGAAGCATTTTTTTGTTTGAATGACAAATAATATTGGACGGCCGTTCCGTCCTGGTACGAGAATCCTCAGCAGTGCGCATCCACGACTACTGCACCTCGCTGAGTAGTCCCATACCAGGACGAAACGGCCGTCCAGTGCTTCCAGGTTTCTAATGGTGGTCTAACATTGATCGATTCAGGGTTTCAAAAATGTGTAACTTAACAATCGTCACAACTCCGTAATGCAGATAATATTGGAACATCTTTTCTCATCATTATCACATCAACTGATATTGTGCTTTACACAAGTCAATTACACAATTTATTCTCGTTTTGATTTTTTTATTATTTGTAAATGGAATATTTCATTAATTTTTAATTTAGTACTTTTTTTTAATCAAATTAATAGAACTTATTATTTTTTTCTAATTAACATTTTGTAATCTTATTTTAAATGGGGGTGTTTGTAAAGCACATTTCCATTTAAGATTGATTCTCCCAATAAAGATTACCAGCAGCACCTACAGGGAAGAGTATTCTGTTGAATGCTAAACAGTATTGAATATTTATTTCGTTTTCGATTAAGTACTCTTTAACAATGATCTCATCCATTACTTACCTTATAACGGACATGATAAATCTACAATCTGTGTAGCAATTAGTTTGTGGGTTAAAAATATTTCTCTCTACTTTAAGCTAGTTATCTAAATGTATCATAGTATTGCTTCAAGGTGTGAATAGTGTGAGTTGAATTTTCATGCTAGTTCAGAATGGGAAAGAGTGATCTGTTCAAACAAGTTACTATTATTAAACAGTATTTGGATGTTTTAAAAAAACACTTTATATATAGAGGAGATTAATGAGAACTTTAACTAGAAGTATTGTTGATACTCTATTGGAATGATAATGTAAAAATAGTTGAATTTCTACTGATTTGTCATTGATGCTTAATTTCGGTTCAGTCAGTCAGATGCAACGTAGAACTTCGTACATATGTACATCAGTTCATGTTGCCATACTACATCAGCACAGAGATGTAATTGTCAATTCAAATCCAATAGTAGAAGAGGTAGTAAAGGTATTAGAATTAATTGGAGAGTTTATGATTAGAAGATATTATTCAAGAAGTATGATTCAGTGAGAAAAGTTTAGAAAGTCAAAACTAGAGGTGTTGAAGAATTCAGAAGATTACGATTTGAGAGAACACAAAAAATAAATGCACCGGCGCCACTGAAAACGGTTTCGAGCAATGTCATTCAGGGTATCTAACCATTGATTATTATCATCTCGCGGACCCCAACCAGATAGTCTACATCTAACAACATGACTCAGTCAACTTGTCAGTGACTTCATGGATTTCTCCCATGTTTTGGTCTGGCCGCCCCTAACTTTCTTCCAACCTATTCCTACACTACAAAACAAAGCTCGACGAGGCAGTCGGTGGTTAGGCATACGCAACACATGTCCCAACCACATCAACTGAAGTTTCATTACTTCATCTATTGATCTGCCATTCTTATCTAGCACCCGTTTCCTAATAACAGCACTGCTCACTCGGGTGTCTCAGGATATACGAGCAATGCTTCGAAGACACCTATGATCGAAAACCAATAACCGACGAATATGTTCTATTCTCACTGACCATGTTTCACAGCCATAATATAATTTCACTTATATTATATATATATTTTTACTCATATATATTAATGCCACGTATACAACACTACTGAATTTTTTAAATGATATCTAATTTTAGTAAAATCTTCAGATTAGAAAAAACATTGTCACCCTAAATTTTTCTGAACTCTTATTTTAATATTATTTAACATTATCGTAAGAGTAAGTTTAAAAAAATGCAATTTTTCTTTTTTTCACTACTTATCTTATATTTATTTATCAGGCTTTTTTTTCTTAAAAGTTATTATAAGCTTTATTTTCTCGCTCTCTCTCTCTCTCAATATCTCAATGATCACTTTTTTCACGATGATGATAATGATAATGATTCTTCTTAGCTATTTTGTATTACTCTCTTAATTAATATACATTTTCATGCTTTCATGAAATATAAAAAAAAATCTATTATAGAAAGATCAGACTCTTGAACAAAAAATAAAAGTATCATTTAATAAAATGAATAAAAAAATATCACAAAAACGGAAAACAATTGAACTGTTAGAATAACTAACTCAAGTGATGTTGTAAATGATAGTGAGTGTTGTTTTCGTTGGCGTTGGTGTTGTTTATCATCATTTGTACACAACACTCACTAGTGTTCTATGCGGCAATTAATGTTTACTTTTCTTTTGGTCATAGTGTAATTAGTTCATT